CTCTCCTCTTCCTGCCACTCTCTGGCCTTCCTCCTTCCCCTCTCAGCTTGTACTTTGGATGCCGTTCAGTAGATGTGACATATCTCCCCATTCCTGCCTGGCCCTGCCCGCCTCCCTGTAGCAGATCCGTACCTCTCAAGGCCTCCACTTCCACTGAGGGAGGGGCAGAGAGGGCGCCCGAAGATGGTTTCTGTGACCACCATCTTGAAGTTGGGTCCTCAGGGGAGGACTGGGTGGAGGGGCTGAGCTCGTGGGAGTCCTGGGCTGGGAGACAGGGTGGGGGAGGGGTGTGGAGTGGGGTTCGAAGCGTCTGCACAGTGGGAAAAGTCCTAAGGGCTTTTTCCTTGGGTGGCACGCTTCCTCCCGTGTCCCCATTCCTGGGTCTGGGCTGAGAATGGGGGACTGTGCCCACCCAGAGCACAAGGGAAGGTGGCTGTCCTGGGGGGTCTCCCAGGACTCCTGTCAGTGCCTTTGGCCCACCAGAGGGAGCCTGGAGCTTGGGGTGGGGCTGAGTTTGTCAAGCACAATCGTTCTCTGAGTGGAACCAAAGAGGGAGGAGCCAGGGCCCCTAGCATGGGCCCCTGGAGCACAGTGGGGTCCCACAGCCATGCTGGAGCAGGGCAGAGGATGCCCCCCGCCCCCCGGGTGCTGTGGGGCTGAGCACAGCACTGACCAGAGATGGGCTGTAGGTCCCGCTGAGCGGGCGCGGGCTCCTGGCTGCCTCCAAGCTCAGAGCTGTTTGGAAGACTGTGGAGGGGAGGGAGAGCCCCTGGCACCTGCACCCCGCCTCCTCTTTGTTCTGAACCTGTTGCCCTCTGCTCTGGGGGATGCGCCGCTTTCCTTTTCCTCCTCACTTTGCATGTTTTTACTGATCATTCCAAATGCAACCACGGGAGCCCTGAGCCTCGAGGAGAGGGCTTCGACGCCCCAGGCAGGCTTAGGTGCTCCCTGGAGATGAACTCTTAACCGCTTTGTATATTTTCTCAATTAGATCTCTTTTCAGAAGTGTCTGTAGAACAATAAAAATCTTTGACTTCTGACTTTGACTTGAAAGTGACGGGGGGGTGGGCGCAGGGCCAGGATGCTCGGTCTTGTGGGCTGTGCTGTGAACCTGGGGGCAGGGAGACGGGGCGTGCGGGGCAGCAGGCAGGAGACGCCAGCAGGCCTTGGCATCTGACCCTGCAGAGGTGGGCCTGCTCCCTGGTTCAACCGAGGACCGCAGATGTCCCCTCATGAGCCAGGTAGACGGACTCACGTTTACAGATGAGGGAGGAGAGGGCTCCGAGAGCTTGCACAGCCTGCCCAAGGTTATGCTGCTTTTAAGTGCCCATGAATCACCCTGGAAGATGACGTCGTCCTGAAACACGATGACAGTGATGTGTTCTTCACGATTTCTGGGCATTAAGCAACCATGTTGGTGGATCCGATCTGAGGTTTGGCACAGGTCAGGTCCACATTCTGCAAGAAGGAAGGGGGAGAGCTGCCCAGAGCCTTTGCCAAGTGAGCCCAGAGGTGGGACCTGGGTCCTGCCCTGGGCATGAGGACAGGTGCCTACACCTTTGGCCCCTTTCACAGGTTCAGTAATCCTGTGAGGGACATAAAAGACTCAGACACACCTTGTTCTAAATCTTGCAAAGACATAAATCTAAATGCAATGCAATCACAAAAGAGGAGGGTCGGCTGGCGTGGCTCAGTGGTTGTGTCGATTCATGCACCAGGAGGTCACAGTTCAATTCCTGGTCAGGGCACACGCCTGGGTTTTGGGTTCGATCCTCAGTTGGGGTGTATATGGGAGGCAACTGATTGATGTTTGTGGCTCTCTCTCCCCCTCTCCTTTTCCCTCTCTCTAAAATCAATTAAAAGAACATATAATTAGGGGAGAGCAGTTGGCAGAGCAAGAATAAAACATATACCCCGTTTGTGAATCTTCTGAAAGGTAGCTCTATGGATGTGCATGGACTACTTCTGGAAGGACACTCCAAACCGTGGAACAGTTATCTCTGGAAGGCAGGGGGCTGGGTCTCTATCCTCATGCCACACAGATGCCTTCTCTTTATAATCTACGTGTGTGCGTCTCCGTATATATGGACCTGCGGCCAGAATGGAGGAGGCCTGCTGGCTGAGGAAATGTCCTCACTGTCAGCTAATGGCTCAGGGTCACCCAGTTCCCCTCTGGCTCTTGTGGTCTGTCACGGATCCTAGACAGGAAGCCCTGTATTAGGCCCAGGTTTGGCCTGAAGAACAGAGCAGTTGCAAACATAAATAGGAAGCTCTGTAACCTCCTATAAGTGTTGCTATGGAAATCAGAGCCTGGGGGTATCCATGGAAACCGGTCTCAGCTCTCCGCCTGAAGGAGTTACCACCCACGGGTGTTGGAGTCTTACTTACCAGGGACCTCAGAGATTCAGTTCATGCTTAGGGAGGGAATGGTGGGTTGGCCCCTGCCCACCCCCGGGTGCCTGGTGGGCTCTGGGCACCGCCAGCTGCTGCTGGAGGAGGAAGGGCCCGCCACCCCCACGGAGGTGCCCTGATGGGGAAGCAGGGTATTCAGGGTTCCGGGGGGCGGGGTGAAGGCTCGAGTCTGGAGGTCCAGGGGCCTGGACTCTGCCACTGGCCACCGTGCGCCGTGTAGTGGTGCAGGACTAGCCCGAGCCTCGGCTCCAGCCCGCCCTCTGTAACATGGGGAGCTGGGGCTGAGTCCTGAAGGTCTTGTCCAGCTTTGAGAGCTCATGGGGCTCAGGGAAGGGGAGAGCAGACAGTGGCCAGGGCAGGCTTCCTGGGAGTCACCTGAGCTTCCAACACTGATGCGGAGGGGTGGCGGAGGCTCGAGGTGCAGCAGGAAAGAGCCCTGCCCCCTCCATGGGCCAGGGGACAAGGCGGCGTGTTAGAGCCTGTGGCCCTCCTGGGAGGATGCCCCTGAGCTTGGGGGCTGGAAGGGAGGCCTGGGGTCCCCTGAGGGCCGGGGTGCTGGGGATGCATGGTGCTCTCCCAAGACTGCGGGTTCAGAGCATCAGTGACACCCTGATGCTGCTGGCATCTCGTCCCCGCTGCGTGTCGCCCACGCTCCAGCCGCCGGAGCGCAGAGCGAGGTGCGAGAGCAGACGAGGGTCGTCTCCAGCCTCTGCGGAGGGACGAAGAGCTTCTCCAGGAAGCCGGGGGTCCAGTCCGGCCGCTGGAGGTGCCCCTGCGCCTGCCGAGGGCCGATGAGGGGGGTGGGCAGCGGGGGGGGCTTCGACCAGCTTCCTGGTCCAAC